TAATTTTCACAATTCACAGTTGTAACTAGAGTTATAAACATAGAAATAAATAAACTGAAATAGTTTTAAATAGTTCAAATAGTTTAAAATACTTTAACATGGATATTCCTATACTGTTTAAGTTGCGATTATATGAGTTTAGACTCAAAATGTGTTTTCTTTTGCCGGACATGATGGTAAAATTAATTTTAACAATTCACAGTTGTAACTGTAGTTATAAACATTTATTCAATATACAAAAATATTTAAGTACAACTACATAGTTGTGACACATAGGAACGGTCACGGTGGGAATTCCGGGGCGGGAATTCCAGGAACTGACCCTACTGGTGGCAAATGACACTGGTGGCAAACGACACTGGTGGCAGATAGTAGGACACCACACATCCCATTCTCAAGCAGAAACTGAAATTCAGTGATAATGTGTTGTAGGTCGTGATTTAATCAATACAACAACAGTGGTAAAACATTTAATCTTGAGCTGTTTTAGTCATTACCACAGTCCACCGTCTATTATAACCGATGCGCTCTCTACTGATGACCTTGACCTTCAACATGTGTATTATCGAATTGCGCACTGCAATTATAGCAAAGCCCTTGGTCCGCCCATGCGAGAATGATAAGACTTCTGCTCTCACGATGATAAGTCGCCGTAAACCACGAGTATCGGATCAGAGCGACTGCGGGCGACGACTCCTGATAGACCTACACTAGAATTTAAATAGGAAAGCATTTGTCAGCCCGTATGGGGCGAGTCATGTCCGTATACGGTACTGACGACTTTTTGTCGCGAGTAAAAATAACCGAGTGCAAGTACCGGGGACGGTGGACGGTGGACGGAGAGCGGCTGAGGCCCTGTATCATCTGCGGCCGGTTTGAAGTGCCACCTAAACTGCCAACGTCCTCTGCGCTCTGCGTGTTTGAGTGTGACAGACTGCGAGGAAACTCAGGTGATTTAACATTGCCATCATAAGAACGCGGGGGCTTTCAGTTTGTATTGTGTATTAGTTGTTCGTCCAATGCATGCCTAAGGCGTAAAACACTGTACAGTGATTTTACACAACGAAACTAAACTAAGAAGTGAATAACAGGATATCTATTTACTACTGTATATTGTTTGTATCGGATGGTCCACACCCTCTACACGATCAATGGCTGTAACACTATAGCCGATTTATGACTTAACACCTCGCATCGCATTAAAACTTTATCACCTGTGTGAACGGTACCTCGCGGGTCATCGCTTTACTTCTGGGTGGCTCGGCATCTCAAATTGACAAATATCGGCGATTAAACTACTTAACTGGATCACTTTTTATGTTTACTCTCGCATTAGAATTCCTTTTGCAAAGAACCGTTTATCCTGGTGGCGGTTAATAGCGCATAAATCGTTTAGTCTGCAAATGTTTATTGGTTATTTTATAGAGTTTTGTATCACGAAGGACTTTGACCTCTATACACCTTTCTTCCTGTTCAGCCGGTTTAGATGTAACAGTAGCTTTATGAAGCCATTAATGGGAAGAACAATGCTGTTACGACCACTTTGCAAACCTTAATCAATCGCGATTCCTTGACTGAATGTCATAGTTTATACCTACCAAACTTAAACTAGTTATTATCAGTTTTTCTTTTTGCCTTTTGGTGGAGCCAACATTTTTTATAGGTATTCAAAACTGTGCCCGAGCTTCGTATACTACACTAGATGTTTCTGGTGACTCCGGGTTTGCCGCTGTCCCGTTGGCTCTGGTCGCCCACGCTGAGGTGCAGGTGTTAGCTCAACGGTCTGCAGAGCCCCCGGCAAAAGTCGCCGCCGTCCCGCCATTTTTTACCCGTCTGGCACACATATGATCCGGCGCTAATCCGCCAAGGGCAGCGCTGTTGATGGATTTCCGCAGACCGGGAAAGAGGAGGGATTTGTAAATTGAATTTCAAGTGCTCGAGGGAAGGGTCGAAACATAGATTTATCTTTCGTCTCTTTAATCATCGATCAGATTACACATGTTTAGCAAAAGCTGAATTTGAGATTCCATTGGAACCAACAGTCTTGAAATGGAGGTATGATAGTTGACTGTGTAGGGGGGCGGGGAGTTGAACGACACAGACACAGCACCACTCGATTACAAGTCAAGGACGCGTTGTAAAAAACAACAGTCCACATGTTTCAAAGTATTGCCGAAAACAGGTTCTGGCTTGCTCCCGTATTAGGCTGCAACCGTTACTTCCTAATTCTTGCGCGGCATTCCATCCAAGTTCTTCCTTACGCTATTATAAACTCAGTTAGTTCGATACTCGTCTCGTCTTGGCCCACTTCCGAGATTTGCGTGGTCAAAGCACGTCGCGAGCCGCGCGTCTGACCTTCACCAAGAGAGGAGGGTGATGGATGAATCGCCCAACCTCTGGACATCACCGCAGCAACTGCTCGGTAACAATTTCCATTTATTTTGAATAGTCATATTTTTGATATCTCGGTGTACAAACTTTAAAGAATCTCGTTAATAGTTACCTAATGTAAATAAAACAAAACGTTGTTAACACATTTACTTAAACAGAAAGTCACGACAATTTACTTAACTTGTAACGTAATATGGACTGTATTTATTTTGTTTACTACATCAATAATCACAATCAATTACCCCGCGCCCTGAATTTCCACGTCAAACGATGTGAATGCGTGGCCGTGCACGGCTTAACGAGACTACACGTCTGCTCTATACTGTTCGACATTGGCATTGTACGTACGCGTCCGAGAGTGCAGACTGCAGAGAACGTGACCATGCATATACTCCAGCACCTCATCTGCATACGACGTAGAACATAGTAATAAATAAACTTCCGTTAGGCTGTGCAGCGATCGCGAATCGACGTGAAATCGGCGCTTTGTCTATTATTCAGGCGCCGATGAGTGGCTTGGCATGGCAAGATCCGTGCCATTGTGCCAAGTGTAGTGTAGAGGTCATTGACGTGGTGATCATATGTCTGAGAACCTCTCACTCGGAGTGGATCAAACAGCCACAGCAGCCGCTTCTCACTTGTCTATACGTCTAACTGTATCTAACATTCACTCATGTTACACCAGACGCTGTAGTCACATACAAGCTCATTACTAAACAAAAGAGAAATAACAGTAATCATTTTTCTGCTTCAACAACCAGTGTGACATGAGAGTTTCTAAAGCTCACGGAAAAACACGTCGGTTAAAGAGCCATATCCTAAGTAACACAACATCTTCTAAGAACATTTACAAGGACTGTTTTCCTAAAGGCCAAGAGGTTCAGATTTTTCATGTTTCGCTATGTAAAGTAGAGTTTAGTGCAAAATTAGCAAGTGGTGTTACTTGCTTCCATTTATCAAACGTCCAACTATTGATGGATGGGAGCTAGGACGAGAGTTGGTTTGTTATCACAGTCAGCCGGTCAAGTCAGCTGCTAAGCGCCACACTGAGCGCAACGTTGCTTGCGCCTCTCCGCGACTTTAATGGGGGGATAGCGCAAGCGCGCAACCTCTGACCTCGCTCGGCCAAGGTACCGTTTATTATTTTCAGAATCTGTGTTTCCAGTGTACCATGTCCCCCGCGGCGTGTGATCGTGTACCTCTGCCTTGCCTCTATCCATCTGTTGTTTCTCTTATTGGTTGTTTCTCGTGTTGAATATATAAGTGTATTGCAACTTTTACTTGGGATCAGCGTCTCTCTACATATATAATTGATTGAAGTTAAGAGCGTGTATATAAACTCCGGTTTAATACAGCATGTAAAATAATGCCATATTTTATTACTTCTATCATTGACTATGATACTATCGTCTCAATAGGCAAATATTACACCTAGAGTATTTTTAAGTATTACTATTTCAATTTAAAACTTGTTTAGAGGAACTTAAGCATTACAATCTGTTAAAACGTCGGATGAACACCGAAGAGCCCTTGCTTAATAAATCAGTACGTCCTGTGATTACAGAATAAATCGATAATTTATCTTAAATAAAAAGATCGATTACCTAGTAAAGTTTAAACATAAACATATATCTTGTAAAAATCAATAACCTTTTATACGAAAAACCTATATGGTATGGATCACCTGTGCACAAGCTCTAAATAAGATCGAGGTGGACATTGAGGAAGTCATACTAAAATTATACCATTAAAAAGGTTAAACATTCTTAGGCACAAACTGTACTTAGATGTACAAACATGATTTAGAAACATACACGATTAAACTAGGTAGGCTACACAGAAAGGAGGAGCAGAAGCATCAGATTGGATTCGCTACATAGTCGCCAGTTGCCAACACCATGATTCATACAGTCGTGGGGGCGACCACCTGCAGTACACAAAGAACCCACATTGAAGGCAGATTTATTTAAATGGTACTCGGAAACCGGTAACGGCAAAACAATAACATATCTCATACCATTGAATCCAAAGCATTACTTATCATACGGACGGTATCGGGCTGCTACAGTTGTTGACAACACCGCAGTATACGTGGTATGGCTACATAGCGAAGTATCAGAGGCGACTGTCTACTGTAGGACTGGCTTGGTCAACACAATACTAATTATACGGTAAATAACTCTCGGATATATTACACGGGTGATATCACAACATTACCTTATGTGCTATAGTTTGATCACACAATCGGTCGGTCAGTGCACATTCCCCACGAAACAACGTGTAAAGGATGTGATTTCAAATGTTTATTTTGAAGGATGGATTAATGTCCTTCGTAATATATTGTCAGAAAAACACACTTCACCAACCGTGAAAATATTCACTGTGACTTGCACTTTACCCATCACGGCCAATTGCGTTTATTAATGCGTCATTAGATTGTCCAAAGATTTTCAAAGACCTTTACTCTTACACTGTTGACCTGTTCTTGCTCTCGCCTCCCACAAGACACTTAAAGAGTTACCCCCACACTCCCCGCCGTATTCCGTACTTGTTTGTTGAAATCTCTGTACTTTGTACTTCTGTGCTCATGAAAATATGTTTTGTTGCAGAAGTTCAGACAGTCCGAGCGCCATGATGGCGTTCCAGCACTCGGCCTGTTTCTTCATCTGGGCTGTTTTCCTACTATCCTTCACCAATGCTGGTAAGCAATGCATATTTTAACTACTAATTTAAGCAACTTTATTACATATATCATCTTAAACTCAATATAATCTTCAGTTGATGTTTCAGACCAAAGACGGTCGTGTAGTTAGTGATTTGAAAAGTTGCAATGAGTAAACTATAAACAGATACAATGGATTCAGAATCGACAAGAACTAAAAGCAACTAAATCCCACTAGTGGTATGTTGTGTGCACTGTGAGTGGATGGTACCTGGTACCGTACCCGTATTGTATCGCCAATGGCACTTGGCTTCATCTCCCATCACAGCCATCCCATAATTACACCGACCTCTGCACCAAACCTGTTCCACCTCGATGCATATGTTCAGTAATAGTTTCCATTCTGTTTATGTATTAGTTCGCATTAACCACCAATTATTCCTAATTATACCGAACAAGCGGTCGACAACCGGGGTACAAGAAGGTACTTTCGATTTCCGGGGTCGTCGCCCCGTTCATCGAAAGATTATCTCTTTTTATCTTTACTAATTACATCATCTCCGATCCAATAGGGCGGGCAATTTTGTTTCCCACGATTTTCAGTTTTAGTGCAATTCCCATGTCTAATGGGGACGAGCAAATTTTAATGGCGTAATGAGTCTATCGGGAGTCGTCATTAGCATACGGGAAGTGCAGGTTCGGGATCTAATCCCATAACCCGTAACCCGTAGCCGGTAACGGGTATCGACCTGTTCGTCCTTGACCGCGGCGGACAGCTCGTCCACCAAGACCTCACCCGCTGAAGCCACTTCTTGAGCAGGTCAATAAATTCATCCCAATTAAGGGTGTGTGAAAAGGATGTAGATAAACTTCATATCCTGGACCGCGAGCAAGCTCGTTTTGTCTCCGTCTCCGAATCATTGTCCATTATTTTTACAGGTTTAATTTACGTAATTTACGTTGATTCTACTTGAGTTCAGGGGTGATATCTTTTAGGAAAATAATCATCGAAGACGAAACCACGTTTTATCGTATAACTTTACTTTAACCACAAATACTAGAAAATGCCCGGTATGGATCATAATCATAAACAAATGTCGTTTTGGCCCTAAAGTAAACAAAACCATATGTTAATTAATGCTAAATCGGGCCAAAAACGTCATTTGTGTATGTTTATGATCCATACACATTCCATGTTTATGATTTTTCAAGTATTCGTGACTTTAACCATTGACACAGAAGGAAGAACGAATACTTGTAAAAACAACAATATTTGCAAACATTTTGTAAATAGTTTAAACTGTTTCAATGTTGAAAAAACCTGAAAAGCGTGTTACTGCATCTGATCGTTGACACAGAACGATTGCACTACTGTACTTGACACCAAACACCACTATACCCACTACTGTGCTATTAGTCCAGTCAATGAATGATCCAAAAGTGGGTGTAGAGTGCGTGAGCAGGTAACTAAGCAATTCATTCAGAAACAGGGGGCTTAGGGTGTTAACATACCAAATGTCCTGACTCCTAGGAGTTGAGCCGGGGGTGGAGGGGGGAAAGGGGGGTAAAGGTACGCATTTTGGGTTTTTCGATTATATCTCGAAAACTTTCAACTTTTTGTAAAAAGAAATATAACCGATATTCTGTAAATCTTGGTAAAATTTCCAGCAATTTGACACTTAAATCATAAAATTTGGTAAAAATTTAAAGCGAGGGTGAACGCATTTTGGGTTTTTCGATTATATCTCGAAAACTTTAAACTTTTTGTAAAAAGAAATATAACCGATATTCTGTAAATCTTGGTAAAATTTCCAGCAATTTGACACTTAAATCATAAAATTTGGTAAAAAATTAAAGCGAGGGTGAGTGCTTAAAAACGGGATAATTTGAGGTTTAAAAAAAAACACACACACACACACCAAAACACGACATTTTTGTTGCCTTGCTCACGCTCTAATTTTGGATCAATTTTTATTATTAAAGTGTCAAATTACTGGACATTTTGTCAAGTTTTTCAGAATATTGATTATATTTCTTTTGGGCGGATAGGATTTGCCCCATTTTTCATACTTATTTACATGTATTTCTTATGGAAGGAGTATTTTAATAAGATATTAATTAAATTAGTAATAACTTGTAAATGGTTAAACCAAAGTAAACACATTATATACTTTTCTTGTAGGAAATTTAATCTTCTTAAATTTTATAATTTAGTATTGATTACAAAAAGTTGATAGTCTTAGAGATATAATCGAAAAAACCAAAATGCGTACCTTCCCCCCTTCCCCCCCTTCACCCTCCTTACACAACACCTAGGAGTCAGGACTTTTGGTATGTTAACACCCTAAGCCCCCTGAACAAGTTTCTGAAGGAATCGCTAGTTACCTGCTCACACACTCTACACCTCATTCGTTGACTGGACTGGGTATATATTGTGTCTTCACACAATGCAACTTACTTATCTCTCATATTCTGATCGCCGGTACCTTACACTACACGCTCGTCCTTGCCATTTCGACACAAAGAATGCCAATAATTATCGGTGTGTTGACCCTCGTTGACAGAAAGTGAAGCAAAACACGCCAACGCCGGAGAGTCGGGAATGTACGTCACGTAATTGTGCGGAATTCACCATCGCAGTCACATCCATAAGTCTTCCCATGTCTCTTGGACAATTTATGGCTCTCTGGATCACTGCTATGCGCGGTCAACCATCTCGCGGATAATCTGCCGATGATCAATATCCTCTTGTAGTGATTGTTGTTGAGATGTTTCTAGCCGAAGTTGATTGGCTCGTTGTGTTATTGGAAATTAGGTTGTATTTGTAAATAATAGAAAATCAGTATTTAAAACATTTTTTTATATTCTGTTATTCATCTAAAACACTCTCGTCTTTTACTTGCAATTGTCTTAAGGTAGGCTTCCCTAGACTGTCGTGTCACCGTGTTCATGAGATTACAGGCATAGCCATTCAAATAGCGACAAACAAATTTTTTTTATTAACTGTACATTTTTGACCAACCCAAGGTATGGCCGAATCTCATAGTACAAGTACATTCCTCGTGGACGCCACGACCACACAGTACAACGTACTCTCTTCATTAAACGTAATGACGGTACCCGAAGAATGTGGAGTTTTAATAAGTCCTCGCGCAAATTGTCGGAGTCTCGGGACACAAAAAGACATTTAGCGATGGCACGACGTGAGCGCTCCAACCAAGGACTCGCCAAGGACAGTCATAGTCGAGTAACTCCTCGGCATCTTCCTCGCGGCGGAAAATAGGGTAATAACCACTTCTTTACATTCCGAATGGAACTGTAGACAAGGATTATTGGAGCAGATCGGAGCAGTCTCGGAGTTCAGATGCTCCAAAAAACAAAACCCCTTGAAGCAGTACAAGCTTAAAACTTGGATGCACTTTTGAGTTACTTATTTTGTATAGGTAATGAAATGAAATTAAATTATATTTATTCATCTATAGACATTATATGTGAACGTTATAGACGTTATAGGTAATTTATTGTCAACTGTTAGGGTACAGCCACAGCACACTAATGCGCAAAAACCTTAAAGTAAAATAATCTTTTTGTTTTGAAGTACCCTACCTATGAAGATATGTTAATGTCCATATATACTGTTATATGCTATTACATCTAACTATACTATTATATCTGAAGGTGTATGTCTGAATGTATATTACTAATAGGCGTAAAAACTACTGCACCGACAGGGCTTACATTTTACATAATATAATAAACAAATAATATTAGTTATATTCCGAAATCATAAATTACATAGTTAAAGATACACGTTCCTAAATAAATTAAATTTGTAAATGAGTCCATATATAATAATATAAGTTTGTATCCTTGCGTAGTAGGTACTTTGGATTCCTATTTGAATACCGGCAGTAAATTGCAGTCTGGCGGTTATAATTGATATATTTACAGAACCAGTTTCCTCGGAGATCTAAGTTTAGAATGACCTGGTATCCATCTGTTGCGAGATAGACTGAGGCCAATACACCTATCATCTACACCAATCTCGCATACCACTGCATTAGTGGACGTTCCTAGGCCAGGTCCACGCAACAACCGGGATCTAAGTGGCCGAGAAGCCTATGATTGTCAAAACAGGGCTTAAAACAGTTACGCGCCCAGAGGCGCACTTCCGATGCGCGGTCAAGGTCGTTGAACGGGCAAAATAAAAAACAAAAAACAGATATAAATCCGGATAAATTGCGGATAGAACATTAAGAGCTGGTTTTTGTTCCGCTATAAAGGCCACGAAGAGGTAATTAAAGATACTCGTCGGCTAGGGGTGTGACCTCAGAGACCCCCCTCCCTCCAATTAGGAATAATTGCGACCTCCCGGGGAGGGGGGGGGGTCGTGGGTCACGGGTTTGAGGAGTAGGACTGCTCACGTGTGCAGAACCCAATTCAACCGAAATGTTGAAAAATAGGATTGGCTACTAGTGATTTATAGACTTCCGGTTGGTTCTAAAACCAGCAGATTCGACCAGGGGGATACAAGGGTACTTTGTGTTTCACGTATTTATGAAGATAAATATTTCAACACAAACTCATTAGGGATTTTAAAAATCTTATAATTTTCGTACTTGCCTCTATTTTAGTGACATGTCTAGAGATACGGTGAAACTTTGGGCTTATAGTATTGACGGTAATACGAACATATGAACTGGTACCGCATATTTATTTCGCATTTTATTATTTTTAAATTTACACATAAATCAAGTACTTGTGTCAAAAAGTAAAATCAAAGACATGTTCCAAGATCAAAACCATCTTGATGGCACTTATAAATTAAGCATTTAATTTGATCACATTGTCTAAACCCTTGACCGACAATACACCGTAGCCAATATTTGACATAGGGAAGTACCTTCAGCCCTCAAGTATACGTAACCACTCACGCTAATTGTTTCACTGGCCATCGTGTTACCGAATGTGGCTTCGCATTTAGCAAACAACCCGCTTTCTCACGGGGGACGCCTGGGAAGTTATACAGGAAGTCCAAACCATCGCACAATGTAGGAAGGGCAACGGCCGAGTACCTACACAGAGTAAAACAACGCAAACCGTTACTAATTACCTACTCTACGGAGTGTATATAGTGTTGCTGAGGTGGATTCACTTGCCAATCCTCTTATCAAATAATGATATCGGAGTGTAGTGCGTTCACCCGGTGGGCGTCGCGTCGTAGTAAACATCGCATTATATGGATCTAGATTTCGCCGGATAGCTCGGCGTGGGCGGGGCTAGTTTACGCTGTAGCCCCACCTGACCACACGGAGATCTACGTGTTCGGTGGTTCAACAGCCGCAGTGCCAGATATACCCAATGTCAGCCTAGAGCGATACAGGGAGAGACCAGACGACCGAATTACGCGAACGTAGGGTAAAGGCAATGCACAAAATATTATTATAAACACCTTCGTAAATTAAATGTGTGAACTCCTATGCAGCATGAAACTCGTGAATTTATTATTTTTGTTTTATGGTTTTATTTTACTTACTTAAACACTTACAATCACCGGTATGGCCTGATATGTGAGCGCGACCACGGATAGTGGAGAGCGCCTTGTTGTATGCAATACCTGCCGTGCCGCGCTGTCTCTGTATTGCCTCTCAGCGCCTGCCTTTCCACAGTCGATACCGTACTACTGTACTAGGCTTACTGTAGGCCAAACACCAGGACGTCGAGTTTGTGTTTATACAAACTGCCATTGTGGCTTCAATGCGTTTTATATTGTTCATAAGCTGGTTATGTGGTGCAAGCCTAATCTAGTACATTTCAGATTTGTGGATTTCAAAATGCTTAAGTGGCAAAAACATATTTTGGAACATAACATAAATTATTAGAAAAAATAAAGTTTACCTCAAGTTCTATAGAGAATTGTATTCTACCATTCGATATGCATTCAGTATTTCGTCAAGTGTGAAATATTCAGGGATCTTACTAATACAACTACCCTCGCGTGTATAGTGATGCCTAATATTCAGTGCAGGTCACGGTTTATCAGTTAAGTACCCATATCTATCACACATGACAATGGACCATTCGTCTGACCATCAGCCTGTAGCCTGTAGCTAGGCCCCGGGCCCGCGACTACCGTTATAATGACCACTATTTTTAGCCCCGATTTGCATAACTTGTTCCCTGTCAAAGTTCTCAACTCCCGCACAGCCGTCGCCTTCCTGAACATGATATGGTGTGGGAAAACACTCATACTCATTATGCATTGGTGCTATTGATGTACGTTTGACTACTATTGGTACCGTTAAATCCCTTAATTTTGTTTACAAACTGTAATGTCCGTGTCTGCTGAAGACATATTCAACACAATCAAGAAATCGCCGACACCGAACTTAGGAAAAGATCTCACAGTTCCCAATTCAGTTGAAAACCGATCAAACATACATTTTAAGCAGGAAAATGTCGTAGGCCTACCGACTACCTTACTAAAACATCTATTGCCTTACTTATCTATGTATTAATTTGAAACTGTTTTTCTTTGTCTCCACTAATTTGAAAGAACGGCTGGGCGTAGAAACTCGGTAGAGGTATCTAAAGAAAGGCCTTAGTCTATAGATGAGCCATCAAATGGGAAACGAGGTAAATTCCCTTGGGACTATGCCCTAGATGCCTTTAAATTCCATCCCCAGATTTTTTTACATTACTACCAGATGGATAATCTTACACTTTTTTATGAAACAGTTGTTAATATTTAAATTGTATTTTAAAGGTCACGTGTTGTAAGCAATTACTGGATCTGTAAAAATTAAATGTTGACATTATTTTGTGGTTTCAAAATTGATTTTCCACTGCATGGTAAGTTTGTTAATTGTTTAAATAGTCCAGTGCAATTAGACAAAAAATGACCTTGTCCCGGACAAAATTGATAACAGGCTGAAAATTGGTGGAAACGTTCAGAACAATGTCCCGAGTGGCCCACACAAAGTCCCAAGAAATCCCAGTTGGGGAACGGCTGCCATCTTGAAAAAACTGCCGCCATCTTGGAAATTTGGATTTTTTTCGTATCTTTTGAAGTAATTGTCAGAAAGGCGTTATTTATGTCTCAAATTAAGCTTTTTGAACTCATGTATGAGGTTAATATATAATTAAACAGTTTAATACGTTCTAAACATAAATATTATTTTTATTAACCTAAAAATATATTTATAATAATGATATAAATTTACAGAATATTTCCAAAATGAAGCTTTTTCTCTTTTGTTCTTAGTTAAAGCCATTAACCCTTTTGACATTTCTTGCAACCCACTATGCTTAGTCTATGGGTGAACAAAAAGTCAAGATCCCCCCCCCCTCTAATATCTTTCTTAGTAAATATACAGAGATATTTTTTTGGTGGTCTTGCAATCTTAGTAGGGAGTTTCATTTTATGATTTTGAAATTTTTGAGTGTTAAAATATATTAAAATATTTAGTACAACACTGCATTAAATGTTCAAGTATTTAGTATATTTGTTCTCTGTAATCAAAATCAATCAACATACTGGTGTAGTTGAATTGTTGTTCAAAAGCAGCTGAATGCAAGGCTGCTTGTTTATGCAGCTTCTGTCCCTTCAAAGAGAGGTGACAAGGAGAAGTAAATGAGCGGAGGCAGGGGCGTCCAAATATTGGTTTTGGAGTTGCAATTTCCAAGTCTTTGTTTGGCAACCTTGCCCACCCATAGAGCAATCCCTACAGACAATACTCGACCTTCTCCATTCCTCATTACTCAATGGATTGTGGACATAGGAGGACGTGTCATATAAATATGTAAATAGTAATTACTGTACTATGATAATGTAACCAGTCCGATTTTAAAACTTATTTGATATTGATTCAAAGAAATGTGTAACAAATCTTATGATTGACATAACCCAAAACCTAAAGTAATAAAAAATACTTGTCATGTTGGTGTCTGGACCTACAATCAGCTATGGATTGGGGATATAAATAAATAATTTTACCAACTTGACTTGGTCGGGCGTCAGTGGGAAGTGCTGTACCCCCACATCTCTGAAGGGGGTTTGACATTTCCACAGGCCCCTCTCACCCCTCATAATCAGATAGTCATATCCAAGTGTTCTATTGAGTTACTTCTCCCTCTCCTGTCCTTAGTGAGTCATATATTTCCAGGATATCAAAGAACCATGTTGCAATGTTTCCCCTCCTTACTGCAGCTTCTTTGGTTGAAGAAATTGCCATCATTAAGGTCTTTATTTATTTAGTTTAGTTTAAATATTGTGTGTGGTGGTATATTATATGTTCTAACTGCAATTACTTCCATCAAACCATATTTAATGACATTTCATAATGGTGTTGTTTAAGTCTCTTACTGAATTTGGAAAATTGAAGAAACATTGGCTGATTTACATTCTGTACAGATAACAATTTGATTAGTTGACATTGTGTTTCAGCTCCAGCCCCAGCAGCTGAAGGTGATTTAGCACACAGTCAAGCACTTGATCTCCACAATACTGAAGCAGGTAAACACTTCCTCTTCTTTATATTTTATATACGGTATGTTTTTAATATAATTTGACATCTGATTTAACTTTTGAGACATTGGTAGTTTCAAAGTTTAGAAAGTTTAATCAGTACAGTGGAACAATACTTTAAGTTTAACTATAATGGAGTATTTTTAACCTATGGTTTCACCATGGTAGTTAATTGGATAAAAAGAATTAAGTACAATTCGAGTTGTAACATTTTCTAATGCTTTAGATTAGCACTTAATTAATTAAGCGTTTTGTAATGCATTGTTTTCATGTGTACTTAAATTACAAAATTAAATACGTTTTTAGTTTTAGCTATAAATACAAATGGGTTAATAACATTATAATTAAGTGATAAAATATGTATGCAGATTTTCAGTTTCACAAAATTATTTAATTTAGGCCTACTTGGCCTAAGTTGAAATCTAAAACTCCTATTCCAGTCAAACAAGTATAACTTTCCCGCAGGATCGTCGAGGTGTTACTACAACTTCCAGCACTACGAAGAAGGAGACCGAATCATTACCAATGAGCCTTGCCTAAACTGCACTTGCCACAAGCGGATGTTGATGTGCTACCTGAGAGTGTGTCCGTTCACTAAGCCTGTAGGCCAGGACTGTACTGTGGAGAAGAAACCAGACCAGTGTTGTCCTGTCATCACTTGTCCAGAAGGTAAACATATGTTGATTGTTTGGTAAATTTGAAATCTCTAGGAGCTTTGACATTGTTGGATCATTCCACTAAATTTTACTTACAAACCTACTATAATATTTGATGTTGTTGGAAGCTTAAAACAGCAGTCACACCTAAATAATGTGTCTCTTTAAAAAACCCAGATGCAGCATAAACTATCCATGACTTGTAACAAAGTCTTATCATCTGACTTAGAGTGATACTTTGATTATCCAACCACAAATCTGAAGGTAGTGATAGCTTACTCTCAAGATATAGATTAAGAAAAAAGGATTGGACACATAGCTAACTTGATGTAGTAACACTTCGGCCCAGTAACATTTCGGCCAAACTCAAATTTCTTAGAAAAACAGTATCACTTCGTCCCACTCGCTTTTACAGATGATTAAATAAGCTAATGGAGTAACATTTCGGCCCGACGAAAAATTTACAAGGGTTGAGGAACGCAGTTCAGGTAGTAAGAGATACATGACCTGTATACTTTGCAACCACCCTCTGGTGGAATGTCGCCCAACCGTCACCCCTTGTATCCTCTGACCTCACATGACGGAGAATTGGTGGAATCTTACCTAACCTAACCTAACCTTACCTAACCTAACCTAACCTAACCTAACATAACCTAACCTAACCTGTCAAATATTTTGTTGGGACGAAGTGTTACTAGTGGGCAGGTAGAGAGTTGGACCGTAGGCCACATCTGAGGTTTTCGGGCCGAAATGTTACTGGGCCGAAGTGTTACTTGGGCCGAAGTGTTACGACACGGCTAACTTACCCAAGAAAAGAGTTCCAGAGACTGTAGACAGCACACAAAATGTTCACACCACAATTAATATATATATATTTCGTCCCTACAAGAAGGCGTCTACAGGAGTAAGTGGTAGAATGTTCCTACCTACTACTTTGTCCCCCTAGGGTGAAACTTTGAATTATATTTTTTGTGAACTTGTCGTGTACTATTAACTACCTGGGACTCTTTTCTTGGGTAAGTTAGTTTTTATTGTATCAATCAATCAATCAATTATTTAAGATGGGGACGCCACTATGTGCGTTTTTTTACCCAAATATGAGTGAAGGATGAGTGGCGCAATCTTGTAGTCTTGTTAGTGACTAAGGCCGACATATTCCTTAGACACAGCTGTTAATTAATAGCCCATACAGCTAATGGCAACTAAGGGACCTACAGTTTATAGTGGAATCCGAAACACATTTTTGCCTTGGTATTATAGAATTGGTCTAATTATCAGGATAGTACTGCGGATAGTCGTAGTACTTACTAGTGCAGACATTAATCCACACCAGGGAGTATCACATCCACAGTGCATGCCTATAAATATCCACAATTCGTGACCTCCTAGTAGCTGGATTACAGGACACCACCGTCCCAGTCTTCTTCCTTAGTGAAAAGCCATGTGCTTCCCCCCCCCCCCCCCCCCAAAAAAAAAAAACAACAAAAACTTTCTCCTAGAGAGGAACTTAAAACAATAAAAATACTGCAGCATTCTTCATTACTAAAATACATGATGGACCCAGGTTTACCTGGGGCCAGTCATCATTCCCAATGTATAGGTTCCAATAGGGTTATAAATAGTTACATAGCTATAGACTATTTATGCAAAAACATTGTGTTTATTAAATTTCTCATTTTTTAACTAAGAAAGGTGTTTTTTTTTATACCTGGCTCTAACAAAAATATTAAAAATATCATACCATTAAAAAATTGTTTAAACAAGCTATTTGATTTATTTTACAGTTCATGTAGACATTGTGACCAGTTCTACGACAGAAACATCTTCAGCAGTTGGTCACATTGGCAAGTATGGCTGTACACTGGAGGACAACACATTCTACCCTGATGGAGTTCAGGTTGGTAGACAGAACTAGGTTTGAATTTCAAAAACCGTTTCTTTGCTTATGGTCGATATTTTAAATTTTGATTTATTCAGTTTTGTCCACTTATCGTGATAGATACAATTAAAAAGTGATTTGTATCTTTAAGAATTAAGTCAGCAATTTTATTCCTGTATGTGCTGGTTAAATTTATATTTATTTTGTGTGAAGTTTGATTAGTGACTTGTGCTTAAAACATGTCACATATATTTTAAAACTTAAAAGAGGTATGATAGGTACTGTGGAACAATACAAAGATTTACTGCTTCTTCAATTTGCTCTCTCGCTAAGATGTACATTTCAGTACATCTTATCATTTAAATTATACCACAGTGTTTTTGGTTTATTTTTTCGCCACAAGAGTATTGATAATGAATCTTGATTTGGCTCAACAAGAATTTCTAGTTAGAACTATAATACATCTATGTATTTCTATATATGAGTTACAACGTTTGCGCACAATAATTTCAAAAACGGCTCCTACGATTTTCTCCAAATTGTTAGAATTATCTTAGTTTTAGGCTAAAGACAATATCCATGCTAGGCTCTGTTCTAGGAAAATTTGTTTTTCGTTAAAAACTTAAATTTATATTTCAATATTTATAACATTAGTCTTATGGACTGTCAGTTTTACGAAAATGTAAATAAATGAAATGTAAAATATGCTTGTAACAAATAATCTACAGTACAGTAGCAAACTAGTAGCAAATTAGTTTAGTTTAATAAACGAATCTCTTAACACTCATGTAAATCGTATAACGCATACGTTCTACAGTAGGTCTACTGTAGAACGTATGCGTTCTAAGAGTCTACTCTTAGAGCATCAAGTAAAAGGCTATGATATTTTTGTCTTGCAAACTCTTAAATTTTAGCCTTTGAAACTATCTAGCCTAAAACCATATCTTATATAACATATTCAGAGTGTTTATGCGCAGTTTTCAATATTTTTTCTCATTTACGATTACACTACAATTTAATACATTTCTATGAGTAGATTTATAAGTGGAATTCATTGGTATCAATAACATTTTCAGTATACCTAGCACAAAATTATGTTTATTTACAATGGTTTTCAAATTCAAACACTTAGACGACAAAGGTTGTTTACAAATGCTGTATAACCAATACAGCACCAATACCTACCTTGAGCATGATAAATGTTATTACGTATAACATTTATTTAACTAAATATCTTAGACTGTATATTATACTATCATGGGAATCCTATATTTATAAGCCTATGAAGTATTTTTATTTCTCTTGAACAAATTAAACACTCGCAATGCTCGGTGCAATAAAGTAAGCATGCTCTGTGGTCCCCTCTGGTACTTATAATTAATTGTCTAACAAAGATGTCTCTCCACTAGATTCCTTAAAAGTTGTTTTAATCGTCTTTTACAGGAGTCTATTATAAATAACCTTAATTATCATATTGAATAAACATATCCACTGATTGTCGAAATAGTTTTGGTAAATTTGGCTAAAATATATTCAGCCGTTATTGTGAGATGTGATTATTACGTTTTTATAAGGCCCGATCTCTAAGAGCTCTGCTCAATAATATGTATTTTACAATAGACCTACTGTATGCATGTTGAGAGAGCGTAGTTATTAACAAAACTTACTGTTTACAGATGCCGTCAGACCCAAAGAAGCCTTGTGAGTTGTGCTACTGCATTCGCAACCACACAGCTTGCGTCCGACAGGAATGCACTCTCAACGTAGAAGGCTGCAGACCAGTATACCAGGACGGAGTATGTTGTCCTGTCAGATATGACTGTGGTGAGTAAAAAGCAAAGTAGAATATTATTTACCCTAGTTGTTGTTGTCTTTAAATAAAGTAAATGATCTGAAAAATAAGTAAATTATTTATAATAACGTAACTATTAATACTGCCCTCATTCATCTCACTATAAACTATCAACTTTTTGTATACCTACTATACTAAATTATAAAATTGAAGAAGATGACATTTTCTACAAGAAAAGTACATAATGTGTTTATTTTGGTTAAACAATTTACGAGTTAATACTAATTTAATTAATATCTTATTAAAATACTCCTTCCATAAGAAATACATGTAAATTAGTATGCAAAATGGGGCAAATCCTATCCGCCCAAAGGAAATATTACCAATATTCTGGAAATCTTGGTAAAAATTCCATCAATTTGACGCTTTGATCATAAAATTTTGTCAAAAATTATAGCGAGGGTGAGTGTTTGAAAACTGGATGATATGAGGTTTTTTTATAATTCTTAATAATAAAAAAAACACAACATTTTTATTACCTCGCCCTCGCCTTAATTTTGGATCAATTTTTTCAAATTACTGGAAATTTTGTCAAGATTTCCAGAATATCGGTTATATTTCCTTTGGGCGGATAGGATTCGCCCTATTTCGTATACTAATTTACATGTATCTCTTATGAAAGGAGTATTTTAATAATAAGATGTTAATTAAATAAGTAATATCTCGTAATCTGTTTAACCAAAATAAACACATTAGCCTATATACTTTTCTTGTAGAAAATTTCATCTTCTTCAATTTTATAGTTTAGTATAGTATACAAAAAGTTGATAGTTTTCAAGATATAATTAAAAAAACCGAAATGCGTACCTTTACCCCCCCTCCTTTTCCCCCTCCACCCCCTGGCTCACCACCTAGGAGTCAGGACTTTTCGTAAGTTAACACACTAAGGCCCCTGAACAAGTCTCTGAAGGAATCGTTTAGTTACCTGCTCACGCACTCTACACCCACTTTGGTGATGGAAAGTTTATGTCATTTGAGGGATTATTTATTATTGACAACAAGTTTTCTAGACTTCGTTGTTTTGGATTCTGACCCCATCAGTTGAGATAGCACATAAATCACTTTAAGCACACTTATAACATCTGTTTGCCGTTGTTTTTTAAAGTGATTTTCTACACTTAGCTGGTCCAGCGTACTAATCTTGCTATGTTTTAGTTACGTTCTTAGCCAAAGGGAAAATCAGATTCCATACCGATATCCCAGAGATCGAGTAAACTTTGATTTTACTAATCATGAAGGAAAATGTCTACAATAATTCCTTAAATAACTGGTCCAGTTGTTGATAAACTCTAACACTGTTTCAATAAAAAGAATCCAAGTAAGAAACTATTGTGTTGTCAGATTACAATGAGATAAGTACGACAGAGAGGCCGAGCTCGGGTGGTCTGTTGCTGGGTACGACTGCCAGTACGACACAGAAATGTCGCTACGGAGACGTAATGTACAACGACGGAGAGCTGATAGAGACTGACAAGCCGTGTGAGTCGTGCTACTGCATGCGAGGAGACATTGTCTGCGCTGTACGCAGCTGTGGTGAGCCTATGGAGGGTAAAGACTGCCATGCCCTGCCTCCACCAGAGGGACAATGCTGCCCCACCACCTTCCAATGTGGTAAGTCATAAGATACGGTATTGCTTGGTATTTTTCTTGGTAGTAGGTCTATAATTAATTGACTTTCTATTCATTATTTAAGAAACAGCACTAGTTAATGTTTGGTAAATTTGCAACAACAGTGGTTTTGAGTTCTCTCCATGTAAATACATCATTCAGCACAGAGCCAGCATCATTGATTTTAAGGATAAACTACAATGTTTGGATCTTGTTACTCAAATAACCAATTCATTAATCCTCAAGATACATAAAACTACAATATAGCTGTAAAACCTGTGAAAAAGAAGGGGCCAAGAGGAAAATAATTACATTAATTTAAAACCCATCCTAATACAATAATGGAAGTAGAAGATACACATATTACAAGTTCCAAAATGGTGAATCGGTGGCACAGTAGGTAGCGCAACAGGCTTTGGGCCAAAGGCAGCGATGTCGTAGGTTCGGATTTTGGTACCTGCCACTAATTTTTATCATTACAGTTAAACCCTTGTACTGTACCAGCTCATCCCTAGTTATGCTGGATACGTTCCACGCACAGGCATCTGTGGTCCATGTGGACGTTCAAATGCTAAAAGAGGCCGCCGATCTCCTTAAAAAAATAACTTAAATGCGTCCAATATATACATATTATTATACCCCCACCGTAGCAAACCTGCCGTCTAAGCGAATTTCTATTTACCTTGAATGATTTTCAATTAATTTATTAAATAACATAAGGTTCAACGAGTACCTAGGTTTGCTGCTACAAGGAAACTAAAGTGTGTTTTAAATAAAATAATTATAGCTTAATATAAAATCAATAAATTGACCAAGTTTGATCAAAATCATTCTAATATTATAAATGTGAAAGTTTGTGTGTTTTTTTGTTTATTTGTTTGTTTGTTTGTTTGAAGTTCAATCACGCATTAACTACTGGTCGGATTGTGTTGAAATTTGGTATGATGATAGCTCACATTCCCGATTAACATATAGACATATTCTTACCTCAACAATCCTTTCGGGCTCCGCCCCAGCGGCTCTAGAGTTTCCCATGTTAAACTTATGAATATTCATATTTAAAAGGAATTAAATAATTTTGCCAGCTGTTTCAAGTAACAATTTGTTTCTATGATATTGAATAGCATTAAAAGGTTATACGGTTTACCAACAGGGTGCAGCACCATTAGTTCTTTATAGATTTATGACAACAGCTAATTTGAACCAAGCAGCAATAAAAACCTGAGTGTGAGAATTTTACTTCTTTCTATTGTTTAGGTGTAGTGGTTGAACATTATGGCTATGGTAGATGTTCTATAAACTACTAGCTGTTGTACCCGTGCTTTGCAACGGGAAGAGGACACAAAATAGAAACATTTTAATCTTTACATCTGTTGCATATAATTTTTACACATCCGCCAACGCTTTTAGAAACAAAATTCAACTTTTATGGACTTAATAGAAACGTTTAAGTTATGACTTTTAAATCTGGTTAGTAGGGGATACCACCATTTTTGTTTTGATTTATTTTAAATCTTGTGTAGGCTGATATGAGAAAAACTGACCAAATTTTTAAATACAACTTTGACAATCATACATGATTTACATTCATCTCCCTTGATCACGTATCTTTTAATTTATTATTGACATTTTAAATTTCAATTTTGAAGTTGCAAAAATACTAAGTTAATTATCAAATTTAAATTTCTCAAAACGTGTCCTCTCATTGCAAATGCAAAGCACGAGTATTTAACTACAATAAGCATTGTATACCAACCCTGTACGAAGGACAGGTACTCAGCTAGTATATCCATAAACAAGCAAACTAAAACATTTTACAAAATTCTTCATAACAATAACATGGGAATTTTCAATTTAATTTTCTCCGTAACCAATAACAGTACAAAAACACTTTGATATACTGCGTTATTTGTTTTTTAAGCTCTTTAAGAAGGTCTAGAGTCTGTTTTTGGCCTCTGGGGACATCAAAATGAAAAAGTAAATTGGTCCCGGGCCTAGGTCTTACCGTGCCACCTACGGTAATAACTACTTCCCTATAGGGAAATTCGCTAAAACTGAAAGATGATGTTGGTTTATTTGGTTGATGTTTTGGGACTCAATCACAGGTTTAATACTGGTCGGATTGAGCTGAAATTTGACATGATGATAGCTCATATTCAACATTAATATAGGCTATTCTTATCACAATAACCTTTTCTGACTCTGCCCCAGAGGCTCTGGAACTTCCTATGTTTACCTTATGGGTATTCATTCATATAAAAAGAATCAATTAAAGAATCTTGACAGCTGTTTCAACGAAACAAATAAGTTTGATTCTGGTTTCATGATGTTCAAAATCATTAAATAATTTAACAACAGAGTGCAGACTACTATTTTGTTTGTTTAAATTTTAAAAATATAAAGAGCTGTAGATACTGACAACACAGAACAGAAGTAAGAAAGGAGTTTTAGGGGAACTTCTGGACTACGGATAACTGTTAGTATAACCGTAACCGAAATAAAAGGCATAGTCTGCAACATAAAGTTATAAAAATTAAAAAAAATTAAAAACTGCCAAGCATACAGTTATGTCACCTGTTTTGGTTTTACACTGTAAAATACCATTAACTGTTGTTTTATCAATAGTAAAACGTAATACGCTGTTTATTTTTTTGTCGTATGATATTTTATGGTTACACCCTCGTTGCGTGATTTGTTGGGCCCCACTACTTTTTTTGCTTAATGTGTTGCAGCTGATTGACGTTTTGACAAAACTCAACTATTGTTTTAAAGGTAGTATCAGTGGAGGAGATAGATTTCTTCCCCTAAAATCGCCTAAATTTTTTGAACGGAGTATAATAAAGTACAGTTTAATTAATTATAACAATAACACAATTCGCGGGGTATCATTTCAAAATTACAGTTCCCATTGCAATGCAATTTCTTAATTAAATTTTTCTACAGTAATGGTAGTTAACTTAGAGTGAATATTAGGATTGTTTTCATTGTGTATATATTGTGTAAATATATATATTTAATATTGTCAAAGCATTTTGCTCTTATTCTCATCCCCAGAGGTTTTTTTTACTTTGCCAGGATATCATGGTGTATTATTAGCAGTACAGCTTTGTTTGTTGTAGCTATTTATGCACAAGGAGCAAGATTGATTCTGTTATGTCATAACAGCAACATAATTAGCTTCATAATAAAACAACTATGATTACTTTATAATACATATAGTAGGTGTATGCCAAGTATAATGGAAACATTTGTTAGTATGCAGATTTTTAAAAATTTTCATTTTAACCAACAAGTAATTCAAATTTCAACTAAAGAAAATAATACTTACTTGTAATAAAGGCTGTATTTGTGTACAAGAATTGTAACTGAAATATATAATACAAATATCTGTAGTACAAAAAAGGTAGACATAAAAAATACTTTTAACGTTATAAAATTAATTTACCTATGCTATGTTAGAACTTTCCCTTAAATGTGTCCTTTTTTATATTATTGGTATAGTATAATGATAATTAGTGTGAAAGATCTACTGAAACTAATGGATGATTTGGAGTTATTATTAGGCCGACCCTTAGCTATCATAATATATAGAACTAATAGTTCATATTATCTGAAACTAATGCTGTTTTGTTTTTTTCACAGCAAATGGAACAATATCTATTGAAAATATGGCGACAGAGAGCAGCATTATAATGCAATCTTCTCCGACGGATACGGACGTTTCAACCAAGGAACCAGAGCCTCAACCATCGTCTGAGGTAACTTCAGATGATGAAGCTGAAGACGTAAAAAATAAAGATGACTTAGCAACTCCAACAACAGAAGTATTGCCAAGTGATTCACCAAATGAGGAAGAAAATCATGGACATAAGCATGAAGAGGAGAAGGTCGATGAGCATCCTGAAGGACAGATACTCTCTGAGCCCACTGATGAGGATGAGTTAGATGATGAAGATTTAGATATCCACTCTGATCCAAACATACATGAACCTGAAACAGAAGGCCCTAAAATTAGTGAACAGACCTCAACCTCTGCTCCTGATACAGCAGAGAAAGTTGAAACTGAAACACAGTCACATGGGGTATCTGAAGTAAACACATCTGAGTCTCCTATTGCTATCTCAGAAAATGACCAAGTTGACCAAAACAAAGAAGATAAAAATGGTTCAGTAAAGGACGAAATAAAGCCAGATGGTAATGAACATTCAGAAAGTGATATTGAAAATACCACTGGTACAAATGAGCTTGTTCCTGAACAACATGAAATTGTTACTGAAATATCATTGAAACCTGAAGAAACATCGGAATCTAAATTAAATGATCCTGTCAATAATGAAGTTTCAGAATCAACAAACACAGAAGTAGCAACATCAGATGCAGAACTGCCTAGAGAACCAACTATAGAGAAGGAATCAACAGAATCTAAAGATGAGAATGGTGTGGTAAATACAAAATTAGGAGAAGAAAGTCCTGTCACGGCATTGACTGGAGAAGAAAATGGACCATCAAATAATGCTGTTGCAGGAAACAGTCTACCAGAAACTTTACATGCTGCAGGAGTTGGGGGAGATGAACAGACTGAACCTAGCAAAAATACATATTTGGAAACAGAATCATCTGTTGAAAGAGACCAACAGCCAGAAAAATTGGACGGTAGTTCAATAACAAATGAAAATGAAATAAAATTTGAGGAAATACCATCTAAAACTCCTGAATCTCTTGACCAAGTAAAGGAATCAGACATTTCTCAAGAAACAGTTGATACAAACACAAACCAATACCCAGAATCACAAACCAGTGAACCAGCTTCAGTTCCTGCTCAGGATGACAATCAAATGGTAACTAATGATCAAGAAAAGGTAGTGGATGTAGTCCCTGAACAAACTAATGCAGAAGGGGTTGCGCCTTCTGTCTTGCCCGAGGAACACATAGAGAATTTTCACAAAGAACAAGCACCTCCAAGAAAAGAAGATTCTTCTCTTGAGGAACATGAACAAGTACCACAACATCCAGAGGGTAGTATGACAAAGGCAGAAGACTCCATTCCTGATGGTCAGTCACAATCAGAAGATGGTATAACAGAATTACCAGAATCAGCAAATATTCCAGGGAAACAAAATGAACATCAAGGTCCAGGTGAAATTAGTATACCACCAGAATCTACAGAGAATAGTGTCACACATGATTATTCAAATGAAAGTGAAGTTAATGTACCACAAGAAGGCCAACATGGTGATGGCTCTGATAGCCAAACTCAACAACCAAATGTCACTCCTTCCTTGGAGCCGAATTCAGAGAAAATAGAAACAAATTATGTGTCTGGTATAGCAACTGAATCAACTACCGGTCCCTATTCAAATGATATCGTACCTGAAAAGACTGAAACTACAAATATGGACATAAAACCAACAGATGCTCCTCTGAAAGAAGGCTCTGTAGTATCTGAAAATGAATCTGTCCCCACAGTAATCGTTATGGAACAAGAAAGTGAAACTTCAACAGACTCTTTACCACAAGAAAGCAGTCACGGTGAAGTTAAGCCACAAACTACATTACCCGAAGATTCATTGCACGACCTTAGCAATGATTTGGAAGATGATCATCAGTCACATGACGAACAAACAGCAGAAACAGAGAAAGAGGTAACACCAGCAAAGCCAGAAGTTGAAGAGCAGCTTATAGGAGATAAAAACAGTGAGGATAATTTGAATGTATCATTTGAATCTACTCAAAGTCCATCAGATATCGATGCTGTTACAGATGGACAAACGCATTCAAACGATGTATCTGATGACAATGGTTCATTAGACGACTTAAATAAAGATATGCATGGTGTGACTGATGGTGAAATTACCAGTGAGAATACTGATAAACTAGAAGAAACAGCTTTATCTGGAGATGGAACAGTATCCCCAGTAGAAGAAATCAGTACAGAAAAAGAAGATTCAGACCAAAGCCACAGTGATACAGCTGAAAGTGCAGGCTTGCCAAATGAAATAACACAGAATGAGGGTGAAAAACACAATTCAGATAAACAGCCAGAACAGACAGAAGGAGTTGAAGAGAGTACTGGTTCTGTAATAAAAACTGGAAGTGAAAGTCACCCTGAAGATAAAGAAAGTGAAAAGAAAGGAGAATCCCCTAATGTAGAATCTGCTGAATCTTCTAAAAACCCAACACCAGAAATCACATTACCAGATGGAGAGGTGCATCATGACCCAGTTGAATCTGAACCAACAGAGTTTGATGATAATGAGTTTGAAGATTCTGGTGACCATGATCCAACATCTGAGAATGAAATAGTTGAAGACCACTTATCAGGTCAAGGAGGATCAATACCTCATGAATCATCATCTAATATTCCAGGGCCTGTTGGAGTTATTCCAGGAGAAGGAGATTGTTTAGTGGATGGACAAACGTATACCAACAACTCAAACATTCCATCAAAAAGCCCATGCCACAAAGAATGTACCTGCATCAGCAGCATAGTTCATTGCCAAGGAATTGACTGCCCACCTCCTCCACCCGAGCTAGCTAATTGCATGCCTGTTCACCAAGGAGACTTGTGCTGCCCAGTGTACACATGTGGTGAGTAGTTTGAAACATAGCATTGTAATATAAACCTGAGTACTAGATCATACTTTACAATATACAGTTGAGTCCCCCAAACTCGGTGTAATGTGGACTGGAAGGGTGCCGAGTTTGTGAAATGCCGGGTTATCAGGAACTAAGGTTACTGTTTTTAAGCTTTTTAACCGCCTTTTTTTATTTATATTTATACTACAAGTCAGTATTAAGTCCTCAGATATAGTTCAACAAATCCTTCCTGGTACGAGTTACGAATGATTTGACTTGAGCTGGCTTGAGTCCATGTTTTACTCGGACTCAAAAAATCACAAATTTTCTGAGCCAGGTGATGGACGAGTTATCCAGACTGCCGGGTTATCGAGTGTCGAGTTTGCGGGACTCTACTGTATTGCAGTCATAAGGAGGAAAAAGAAATACTAAACAACAGTTTAAGCAGTATTTCTCATTGATCATATCATAGACAAAAAGAATTAAATATAGACCGTCAGCTGTGCTGCGGTTACCATAAGTTCTGGCGCACACCGCTGGGATCGCCACGGTAGTTACAGCGTACGCGCTACGTAAACTACAGCGGTGTGCGCCGGAACTTATGGTAACCATGGTAACCGCAGCACGGATGACAGTCTATATTTCATTCTTTTTGTCTATGATCATATTCTCTCTAAAGACTTTTTTGAGGTTATTATAGGGAGAATATACAAGCATAAATTGCGGACTGTAATAATGATTACCGATTTTCCCAAATAGTTTGCAAATAGTTCACATGAATACACAAAAGCAGTGTTTTTGTGAATTTCCCATATAGGGAATAAACTATTACAACTATGTACCATAGATATCATAGTAAGACCTCGACCAGGGGACAATTTACTTTTGTTGTTTTGAGGGCCCCTAGAGGCCAAAAACACACTCAGTTCAAATTCATAAACTTTTGTAGTTTGCTTGTTTATTATTTTAATCAAATTTGGAAACATTATTTATTTCATACTAAACCACTAATGTTAAAAAAAAAACACACATTATGATTGATTAAAATATATACATTTTACAATATTCTCCATCAGAATAACATGGGAATTTTACTAATAATAACCGTACAAAAACACTTTGATATACTAAATTATTTGTTTTTTTTAAGCTCTTTATAAAGGTCTATGAGAGAAATTGGGAAATTTTGTCTTTTGAGGGTCAAAAATGAGAAAAAGGAAATTTTTACCCCATAAAATCCCCTGTAAAACCCCATTCCTATGGTCCGATCATGCTGGTTCGCGAACTTGTTCAAGTTTATCCCGCCTTACACCTTCAAACCAAATTTGGTCAAAATCGGACAAAAATTATTCAAGTTATAACGTTCACGGACACACACACACACTCACATATATATATATATATATAAATGTAATATTATATTAATGCCGTCATTACAAAATGACACCTGTGTACAGTAACATTTACTAAATTTTAATTCATTGATATAAAGTTTATCATTAATGGTATAGGGCCTAGTTTACTTGTATTACGATGGATCTAGCCTGTGTTTTTTCTTTCAGATGGAAACACGCCAGAGGGTCCTCAGTCACACAATCAAATGGGAGAAACTGAGGACAAAACCGACTCGCCTACTGAGACAAAAAAACATTCTGAAGGAACTGAACATGCTACTATTACAGGGGAAGAAATTCCAGACTCCGAACATACAATTAGTGAGAGTGAAACTACTATGCTAGACAATAAACCAACAGAACATAAAGAAGACTCACAGGGAGAAGAAACTACAGCGCCTGTTCAAAATATTCCTAATACTGTTGGAGATGAAATATCTGAAATTGCAAGTGATAATAGCAATGGAGAAACACCTGGCCCGGACACAGTTGTTCAGGAACACAATAGTGATGATAAAACTCCTGCTGATAATGGAACTGCCATTGTGGTCACTCCTGAAGACAATGAAGAAAAGCCTAATGCAGATGTTTCAGACAGCATCTCTGCTGTAAAGGAAAAAGATTCACAACCAACAGTCCTCACAGATCAAAACGAGTCTCAAGACACAGAAGTACATGATCAAACCCACACAGAGTCTCCTGGTGTCGAAGAGTCTCCTTCCAAACCAGATGAAACCCCTACAGTTTTAGAGGAAGATGATGGCTCTGCACCACACAGTTCTGCAATTCCAGTAACAGAAACATCACATACACTTACAGGTGAAACTCAAGAGACTGAAGAACACCCAGAACCTGAAATTGAAACAGAAAACGGACCCGAAACCAATACACACACTTTAACAGACAGTGTAGATGATGACTTACCAACAGCAACAGAAAATAATCCTGAACTGGTTTCAGAATCTGACAGCCATGTTCCCTCAGAAGAAACTCAAACTGAGAATGAATCAGTCTCTCCATCGTCTGCTGAACAATCAGAAACACCTGTTCAGCAGATAGAAGACGGCAAAAACACATTTGAGACAAATCAAGTTTCAGGTGATCTTCCTTTGCTAAATGAGGGCATGGAGAATAATAAGCAAGATATTGTTACAGAGACACCTATAACCGTTTCACAGGAAGTTATCAAACAGGACTTACCTGTAACAGAAGAACCCATTGTATCAGAAACATTAGTTACTGGCAAGCCAAATTTAGAAGGTAATAATCAGCATGATGTAACCCATAAAGATGGTACTTATCAAGATTCTGAATCAGAGCACCAACCAGGATCAGCAGTGGATTCAGCAGTACAAAACGGTAGTAATGGGTCTGAAACTACTTCAGTTGAAGATACAGCAACTGAAGTAGTTCCCAATGCTCCAGAGGGACCAGCAGAAGTAAATAATAAAGTAAATTCAGAAACTGATAAAGAACAAAATACAACAGAACAACATCCTTTACACGAGCAAAATATTAATGGGCAAACGGACGAAAAACAAAATGAAGATGATTCTAATTACGAGAATGTTACAAGCTCAACAGATAGTGGTTCTGAATTTGAAGGAAATCTGAATTCTGAAAATAAAGCTACACTGTCAAACAAAGAAAATGAAGCTGAAACAAATACAAATACTGCGCCAAAAGCTAGTCACGATGAAACAGGAAATACTGAAGATCTACAGGGAGAAGTAACTGAAGGATCCTTGGATTTGCATCTTGGACAATCTACTCAAGCTCCAACTTTAAATGACCCGTCTACACAGAGTCCATCGCCTTCCATTGAACATAATGAAGACTTAAATTCAGAGACAGCAACTAGTCCAGAAAGTATAGGGGATCATGTGCCTAATGGTGATAGCACTCTAGATGGTGACAACACGAGTAATTTAACAACTCATGAAACCCCTTCTGAAACTGAAAATCAGGAAACTACACACGACCAAAGTTTAGAAACTATTTCAGCAATAAAAGAAACTGAAAATCAGAAAACTACACATGACCAAAGTTTAGAAACTATTTCAGCAAACAAAGATACAAATTCTGATAGTAATAATCATCAGATTGAACCTGAAACGACAGAAAGCTTGCAAAATAGTGATTTAGAAACAACTGAAATTACTAACGAAATAGAAGAGCATGTTTCTGGATCACCTAACCAAGAAGAACACCATCCAGAGCATGAAACATCTCAACCAGCTCAAGAAATTGGATTACCTGAACAAGAAATCTCAGAATCCCCAGAATCCTCAAAGACTGAAGATAGTCCAGCAGAGGGAATAAGTCATGATGGAGATGATGGTACAGTACACGAAGATGAGAAAATACCGAATAATTTTGATGAAGAACCCTCTCACGGTACAGAAATAACGATGGGAGAAGATAATAATGAGGAGGGAAATCCAGCTCATGGAGAGACCGCACAAGTCAATCAGGGAACCGAATCCATTAATAACGAGGAAGAACTAACTAAACCCTACATTACAGAAACTACTCAAGAAGAAACCACACCAGCTCAGGAGGCAACACACGAAGAGTCAAAACCTGCAAATGAAGAAACGGGTAGTGTGGAAGAAGATACTTCCCCTGAAAATCAAGAACCTTCTAATGAAGAGGTTAAACCAGATATTGACGAGTCTAAACTGTCCCAAGAGGAGTCTGAGCCACCCCACATGACGTCCAAACCAGCCCAAGAGGAAACTCAACTAGGGCATGAAGCAGGTAATGAAGAGCCTGAACCAGCAAATGATGAGACTGAACAGGCTCATGAGAACACTCAGTCAACTGATGAGACTCATCAAGCAAACGAGGAACCTGAGATAGCTCAAGAGGATACTGAACCAATTCATGAAGACAGTGGAATAATCCACGAGCAGATTGTTCCAGTTCAAGGGGAAACTGAGCCAGAACATGATGAGATTGGCCTAGTTCATGAAGATACCGAGCCAGATCATGAGGTGACTAAGCCAGTTCATGGGGAATCACAACTGCAGGGTGAGACTGAGCCAGCCCACGGGAACACTGAACCAGTTCATGAAGATACTGAGCCATTACACGGAGAAACTGAGCCAGCCCAAGAGGAAATTGTACCGATTCATGAAGATAGTGAGACAGATCATGAGAAGGCTAAGCCAGTTGATGGAGAAGCTCAGGTTCCTGTTGAGTTAGAGACAGTCCAGGGTGAGACTGAGCCTTCACATGAAGGGACTGAGCCAGCCCAAGAAGAGACTGAGCCAGCTCAAGAAGAGACTGAGTCAGCCCAAGAAGGGACTGAGCCAGTCCAAGAAGGGACTGAGCCAGCCCAAGAAGGGACTGAACCAGCCCAAGAAGGGACTGAACCAGTTCATGAGGACACTGAGCCAGCTCAAGAAGAGACTAAGCCGATTCAAGAGGAGACCGAGCCTGCCCATACGGAGGCTGAACCAGTCCATGAGCAAACTGAGCTAGTTCATGAAGATAGTGAGCCAGTTCATGAGGAGGCTAAGCCAGATAATGAGGAGACCGAGCCAGCCCATACAGAGACTAACCCAGCACATGAAGATACTGAGCCAGCACATGAAGAAATTGAGCCAGCACATGAAGAGACGGAGCCAGCACATGAAGAGACTGAGCCAGCACATGAAGAGACTGGGCCAACACATGAAGAGACTGAGCCAGCACATGAAGAGACTGAGCCAGCCCATACGGAGATTATGCCAGCACAGGAAGAGACTGAGTCTACAGATGAGGAATCCAAACCAACACAAGAAGAACCTGAGCTAACAACCGAAAAGACTGAAACCACTCATGAGGAGACTGAACATGGAAATGAAGTTCCAGTAAATGAAGTAGAACATGACCAAGAGAGTGATACCTCTATTCACGATAGCGAACAATCGACTACAAAAACAGATTTGACAAGTGAAAATGAAAATATCCCCCAAGAACCAGAAAACGAAGATGAACATCATTCTCAAGAACATCCTGTTCTTGAAACTGAGCAAACTATAGAGCCAATAAAACCTAATACTGACTCAGAGCATGCTCACGAGGCTGAACAAACTCCTGATAACAACATTATTGGAGATGGGGAAGACCCTTCACTACCAACAGGACAAACAGTAGACGAACATGAACAGGAACATGAGCAGACAATCCATGAAACAGATATTCCTCACCCACAAGTTCCCGGATCCATGCCTTCAATGACTGGAACAGATGACTCAAAGCCTCAACACAACAAGCCAGATGATCCTGAATTACCTCCTGAAGACCAGTTTACACCTGATGTTGAAATGGATTATGATGTTTCTGAAGATGGTGCTTTTGGTCCAGGTACATGTCGTTATGGAGGAAAGGTTTATGTCTCAGCACAACAAATTCCTCGTGATGATCCTTGTGATTTCTGTTTCTGTTTCCGAAGTGATATTATTTGCTTGCAGCAAAGCTGTCCTCCTCCAATTCATAGATGCCACCAGGAGCCTATTCAGGGCTACTGTTGTCCTCGATATCAATGTCCTGTTTCAATGGCGACTAGTCTCAACATAACAACAACAACATCGACCACAACAACCACATTACCTCCACACTTCTTTGCGCATGCATATCGTGGGGCAGCAAGGCAATCTGGTTGTTTCCACAGAGGTCGGGCATATGAAGTTGGTGAAGAGATAACATCAGCTTCAGGCCCCTGTTTACAATGCATGTAAGTAGTTACCATTAGCCTAATAACTATTATAGCAATTTAGGTACCTACTTACTATATTAAAGATAACTAGGACCAATTGCCCATCACATTCTACAAGACTAAAGCCACTTGCTTCTCCTTCAATTAAAAATCATGAATTGAAGCTACATAATACAATTTTGGATTTACAAAAAAAAAGACAAAATATTTCAGATCATTGCAATCAAAATTATGCAAAAATTGACATTCTATCTATATTATGAATTCTGTAAGCAACTTTTTAAAATCAAAATTGTGAGAGTTTGGCAGCTCGCAGGGTGATGGGAGTTGGGAGAGAGCTCTAATTAAAGGTCTTGATCCCAGGGCCAGGGGATCGGGAGAAATAGCAGATTATGTCTAAATCTATCAGAAAATGAGAAATAACGTAAAATATCTTCAATTTAAAATGCATTGGGATTTAAAAACATCTGATTTGATTACATTAAACATATATGATTACAAATGTATTAAAATTTTTTTTCTACTTTTAATTCTGTTGATAGAGTGCGTGAAGCTGTTTACTAATCAACAAATAAATTCTGCTTTATACTTTACTTTATACTTTCTTATGAAATGGCGACCATACAAAGTAGGTATTTTAAGCCAAGTATGAATGGAGATGAGTGTAGGATGAGTGGTGCGATCTTGTAGCCTTGTTTAGTGACTAAGGCCGACATTCCTTAGACACAGCTGTTAATTAATAACCCATACAGCTAATGGCAACTAAGGCACCTATAGTTTATAGTGGAATCCGAACCACATTTTTGCCTTTACGAATTGGTCTAATTATCATTATAGTACTGTGGATAGTCGTAGTACTCACTTGTGCGGATATTAATCCACACCAGGGAGTATCGCATCCACAGTGCATGCCTATAAAAATCCACAATTCGTGACCTCCTAGTAGCTGGATTACAGGACGACGCCACCCGTCCCCACTAAATTGATCTTAAATTATTAACTTTCAACTTTTAGAGCTGCTGCGTGAAAGATCATTTGATTCTTAGTTTGTTTAGATATAACAATAGACTAATTTGTTTTACATTTGGGCTTCTTAGGGACTTATGTTCCTACATGCCACTAGTAACACTTATTTTTCTATAAAACAATTCATTAGCTAGTCAGGCTATTTTAAAAGAATATGTTAATATACTCTGTTGATTAGGTAGCAGAACATGTTTGTATCTATAATATAAAGGGTAGCTTGCCCTAAAGTTTGCCCTTCCTTCCAATAAATTATTTTGAGCCTCCAGTTTTTTTTTCATGTATAGCTTAGAAATACAGTAAATGTATAATAATTCATGTGTCTAGCCAATAGTATAATAGAAAATGTCCATTAGACGGTGTTTATGGCACGCTAGACAGTTAGCGGCTAGTTTCTGGTCTCTATGTAGGTAACCTTTTAAACAAGAAAGTCAAGCACTCAGAAGTTTCTTCAGAAGGACAAAGCTACATACTACATAATAATATCGTATTTAGACAGGCACATTGCACTTTCACAAAATATTGGAAAGGTTTAAAAAACTTTACTATTGTTACACAAAGTTTAAAATTCTGGTAAAATGTTGTGTTAAAATAGTATTATATTAATCAGTGTTGGTATTGTATGTGCTAGTTGTGTTTACCCTGTATACTTGATGCTGGTTGTGTGGTACAAAGCATTGTTTGTACGTGACTCAACCCAAATTATTAACAGTATTCGGATGAAATCCTGTGATGGGCAAGCCTCGGATGTGGACTATCATGCTTGTACTGTCGTATTTGAAAAGTATTTAGTCAGAACCATAAGTCATTATTTTAACTGGCTATGTTTTTTGTTTAGTGATGGTTGGTATGTGTTTGTCTGCAGATGTGGTAGCGACGGTCAGATGCAGTGTGATCCAAAGGTCTGCAACCCAGAGCCAATGGTGAGGAAGCTAATGGAAGCTGCAGTCAGTCATCGTAGAAGATGAAACCTTCCCTCCGCCTAGAGTTAATGCCAAGACAATTCCATGGGTGCCAAAAACCACCTGACGACAAATGTGATTCATATGCGGTGTAGTCGCTCCCCTAGTGTAAGGTATTGCTGCCATGGACCCTGCTCAACCCGTGAGGACTGTGCGAATGAACGGTCGGAATGAATGGTGCTAAGCTTCAGTGAATCCATTGTTTTAAGATGGTATTTTTTGTTAATGTTTGTAAAATAGTCATAATTTATCTAAACTCTTTGCAGACTTCGATATCAGTCGTTTAAGCTCACTCGTAATTTAATTCTCGTAGTTTTAGGTAGGATCTTAATTTCCGCTCGGTAGCGATTTTTGTTAGCCTGAACGGTTTGATTGGTAGAATTCCATGTTGTAATATTTAATATTATTGAGATTTTATTTAATTTAGATTTAGGTCGGATTTCTACCTCTCGAACGTTCAGACTGCATGTACATGACTTCCTTACAAATAAGTTCTCCTAGACATAAGTTACGATTATATATATACAATTAAGCGAATAGTGAACCTAGTATACAGTAATAATTGTGATTTAGAGAGTGTTTGTGAGCGTATGAATGTAAATGTAATATTGTCTGTGTCTGAGTCACTTTTTACTTTTGTAAAAGTAACAAGTTGTCTAAATTAAAATTTTTATAAGTTTTATAAATGTAATCTATGGTTTTTTATTCATTACCCTGATTGAAATTCACGTTTTCAACAGACAAGAAAGATATGTAAGTGTAATTGACTGCTAAAGTAATTAGCAACTGTCACTACTTTCATCTACAAAAATTAGTGTTTACATCTACATCTATAATGATTCTTCAAATAAAACTGAATTTTTGTTAAATTTAATTACAGTACCTACATTTAAATCCTAATAATTCAAACCCGTTTTTCCCTCCTGGACCTGCATGATTAAAAAATGACTTAAATGAATATCACTGGAGTAGTGGGGCAGGAACACATGGAAAGAGCATTCCCATTCTACTTATTACAGAAGTCCTAACTAACTGTTGATAGGTGACCCCGTTATTTTTAGACAATGGTAAGCAATTTTGAAACAGTCAATCCGTATCCAACATGGACAAAAATGGTGTCCAAGGAATTTTGTCTGATATTTGTTTTTTGGGGTCGCTGAATCCGAATCTGAAGTTGTCCAACAAATATTTCTTGAGCCTTCCAAGATATTCGCAAAAAATAGCAAAATTTTAGCACTTTTTTCACTTTTTATATTATAAGTCGAAAACTATGGATTCTAGCGAATTTTACCCACTACAAACTGAAAGGTGACAAAATTTCCTTTAAAATGCACTATTCACACTTGAAAATCGATTAGAAATAACCTCCGCTAGAGTGCATTGAAAATTGGTTATTTTTCTGAATTTACAAAAATTCAAGCCTTTGGTCTGATTTTAATATTACTCAGCAAACACCCACACCCATCCACCCTATAACTATCTCAACCCACATTTCTCCATCAAACCCCCCCCCCACCCAATATACTATACCAATTCCCCCCCCCCTATTCCACAGAGTTATTTCTACTTTTCTTGGGCGGAATGTGAAAAATAAATATTAGAGAGGTAGGTTTCCATGGTTATGATTAACATGACCAAGGCAGTTGTTATCAATACTTTACTTTTCATTTAAATGGTGACCATACAATTATAGTCCCAACGACACTACACCAAAGAATGACTATTATAAAGCAGTCCGAAAACAAGCTAAAGGAATCCTTGAAATTCAGGCTAAGACTGTATCCTTCGTCATTACGTCAAGAAGGGTCCACAAGGAAAGGAAAGAAATCGAGGCTCTACAAATCTTTCCATCATTTGCCTGATTCTGAAATCCCAAAAGACACCCAAAATCTTATATTTGGAGGGTTTCTACTGCACAAGGTGGTTTGGGAAAATAACTGAACCTTTGATGAGATTGGTGACTCTTTCATGAGATACATAAACGGCACTACTCCAGCCCCGTGGTATTTTTTGACGGGTACCCTGATTATCATATGACCAAACAAGATGAACGTTAGAGAAGGGCCACCAAAACACTCTGTGGAAGTGCTGTTTGAAACTGGAATGAAACCAGATGTTTCTTAAGGGCATTCTTGGCGTATGATCAGAATAAGAATTGTTTCATATATCTACTTATCACACCACATGTACATGTACATGTCTACAGCCATCGATCTGTCTGCCCAAAGCAGTTCAGTCACTGTTGTTGGGAAAGGTATCAACCTTCTGTTGCTACTAGTGGGCTCAGCATGATATAATCTAGTGGAGAAGGCTAAGGGTTTGAAGGTGCTGGACAAACACCCCCAGTTGTCTTTCCAGCAAGCCCTTTTTAGAACACCTTCCCATGATTTCACCTTTAACCAGGACTCCATGTTAGAGGCAGGAGAGTCATTCTTAGCAGCCTTATACGGGGAAACCGTCAGACACCTGGACGACTTAAGGTACAAGGTATACAACATGTTTCCCATAAAGGTACAAACTAAGATATATCTATCGATTTGGAGGAGCCGTTTTTGAAATAATTGTGCACAAACGTCACTCATATTATAGTATATAGCTACAGATATTTGTAGTGAAAAAGGAAAAAAGAATAAGAATACAATAAAAACGGCTTTTTCAAGTTTCAATTTTCAAGTTTCTATTTGTAGCCAACTTTAGTCTTCCTTTATTGAGTATTTTCAAGAAATAAATATTAGCAATTTGTAAGAAATTGTATTCTCCTTCAGAATATCACTTTCCACTTTGGTCGATTTCTTTACCATTTAAAAGTTATTTGCAAAAAAATAAGTTACCTCCAAATTTTAAGTTGTTATAAAATACTGTACTGAATTAGAGATATTTTTGTTAAACTTTATTGTAGTCTACAACTATCTAAATCTAGGCTACAGTTCTACTGGACCAATTTTATTAATTAATAGGTCAATGGAAAGCTTCATTCATGTAAATTTGCAAAATAACCATGAAAGTTTTATTTATTTAAAGATTTATGACAGTAATGGGTTCGCTGAGACACCAACATCCATAATCTGATCATATGAAACATGTGTTAATAACATGTGTTACCTACGACCGTTTTTTAAAGTAGCAGTTTTAGTTGTTCTTAGAATTGAAAAGTTTCACATAACAGAATTTTTTTTTTTCACAACAGCATAGTTTTACTCATAACAACACGGGTAACGGACCAATGAGGTTCAAGGATTGAGAGAGAAGAAGTAAAATTGTAATGATTCGAACTTCAAATAATCAGCTGTTCAGGCTAATTTAATTGTTGAGTGGTGCTGGGTGCAATTAGTGTTTTGTGCAATATGTTTCCTTGCACCACTCTCAATGGCAATGATAGGTCATAAACAAAAACATAACCTTTTTTAGAAGTTACAAAGGGGCCCCCTAGTCTTGGGGGCCCCAGGCGCTTGCCCCGTCCGCCCATAGGTGTTAAGCCCTGAAAGTTATTAGTAATTTTTAGTAATTAAAACACTGTCATATGTAAAGTAGTGTACCCAAATTGCGTAAATAGTGTTAACGACACTTGTAGAAGTTTTTAAGGCACTCACCAAGGCTCAAACCTTAAATTTTCTACTCGTGTCGTTACCACTATCTTTACGCAATCGTTGTGTAAACTACCTACTATAACAGCTGATTGTTGTATTGTTATTACCTTGATATTTCTTTGTTTAAAAACTGTTGTTCACAGCTTCCATTAGTGGTTAAGAGTGTGTTTCTTTATGTTATGTGTTTCTAAAGTTATGAGCTTCCTACCAATAATTATTAGTGAGTTAAGTGATGTATGGATTTCATAATCTTTGCAACTTATAACTACCGTTGGAAAAAATGCTTATTCTTGATATTTTTTCTAGTCATCACTTATTTTAAAGCTACCGGTATTTAAGATAGAAGATTTAAAATAACCGCCATTTAGGATTGGTACAATTTGTAAATCTGATACTTTGTGCAAAGATTGGACTTACTTTTTACTACTTACGTGCCAAGTTTCAAGTCAATCGCTTAAGGAGTTTGACAGTGTTATGGATTCATTTCTGAAAATCACATACAGATGACACACAGACAGAAAACCAGGCATCTTAGACTCATATTTATACAGTGTTTTTGCATTGTTTTAACCTAAGGAACAAATATACAAAAGGATTCCAGAGATTTCCGGAACACCATGTATATTAATCTATAAATTATATATATATATATATTTATATATATGTTTAAAAATTTTAACAAATAGTGTGTTTGGTCTCTAGGGACATCAAAATGAAAAAGTAAATCGGTCCCGGGCCTAGGTCTTACCAAACCACCTACGGTAATAGCTACTTCCCTAGATAGGGAAATTCGCTAAAACACAATATTAACAAAACTATAATATTAATTTATTAACAGCTGTGTCTAAGGAACATGTCAGCCTTAGTCACTAACAAGACTACAAGATCGCACCACTCATCCATCCTACACTCATCCTTCACTCATACATATTTGGGTTAAAATGTGCACATACATACTGGTGTCCCCATCTTATTTAATTGATATTGATATGTAAACCGACAACTTTGTTCACGTTAAAACATGCTGTCCCGGCCAATTGAAACCATAATGTAAATCTTGAGGCAAATAACTTATTTTCTAAAGCATGAAAATGTCTAGTCCCTATGCAAGATAAAACTAATGAAATACTGATACAAATACATGTACAGTAATAATTAATTAACTTATTCTGCGTCTGATAAAAATTAAATCCTAATCATGTTAAAACTGAAACCAAGAATTAATCACACATTAAAATAATACATAGCAAGATGATTAACAGCAGCTGAATATTATAACAGTAACGGTAGGCCTATTGATCATAAAAGTTAAACCACTTGCCCGAAAGTAACTTGTTTGTATTATTGTTCAAATTGAACTGCCAAAAAACCGCCCAAACCGTATCTGTTCTAATATCTGATCACAGTTACAATAATTTTAACAGCTGTTTCCTCTGATGCATTTAACTCAACAGCTGATCTTATGCCTTTGATGATTATGTGTTAAATATTGCTTCTATAAGGATTAGTCTACATTGTTACTTTGAGATCCCATGGGGCGGACTCCTAGGAGAATTGTTTAACCCCATATCACAACACAAGTGAACTTGGTGGTTAGCACTAACCAATATGGTCTTTATCACCATGCAAAATTTGAAAATAATTGCTTCAGCTGTTAAGACATGTTCTAATAGTGCAGTAAAATAAGAGAAAAATTCCATAAACCTAAAAAAAAATTAGCACAGCCGGGGAATTTGGTACAAATGTTGGGTGTACCTTCCTTTTGAACATACTAAAAGTCCCCTATAGTCAGGTTGGGCAGCAGGAAAATATTTCAGTTCTGGCAGAGAGGCTGCAATTTTAGGTGGTTATAGTATGTTTCTGAACCTAAAACCGCCCAGACCCCAATTTTTAAGGACCTCGGTCGTCCGTAGTGACGTCATCAAAATGGCGGCCGTAAGAGGATGCTGGGTCCCCATGAATTGGCTATAACGACCGAATGCCTGAACCGATTTTCATGAAATTTGGCACACAAGTGCTTGAATACATTATCTCAGCCTGGGTTGAAAATGGTCAAGTTTCATCAAGTCATTTCAAAATGGCGGCCGTTAAAACCTAAAATTAA